GGGGGGGTAGGGAGTGATCGGGGGGGAGGGTGGAAGTGGTAGAGGGGGCTGCGCAAGCAGAAAAGCGAGCGTAAGCGAGCATTTGATGCTTGTATAATAATAATGAAAATAAATAAAATAAACGAAGCACGTTGTCGTTGTGACGGAGTAACCGTACCGATAGACTCTATCCATCTATCTAGGCTTGCTCCCTGCATATTCTGACGTCAACGGCTGGCTGACCTCTAGTTACTGCTTTGACCATCCGATCCGATTCGAACTAAGAGATGCGCCAACCTCACTTGTTAGTACTCATACTCTGTAAACAAATAGTCAAACCGCCCGCAGAAGAAACGACGCGTTGGAGATTCCGTTTCGTTTGGAACTAGATCCTGCGCCCTCTAATGGGGTGGTAGTCGTAGAGTGTCTATCTCTATCGGTAATGGCAATGGTAATGATAATGGTAATGGTAATCATGTTCTATTATTTATTTATTCGCTTATTTCTAGAAGGGGAAGGGGGGCTGGACGCGCGTATATGTATAGTATATATATATACATGAACCGGTGAACAGGTTCCTGCGTACGTGGAGGGGCAGCCTGTAAGGGTCAAGGGAGGAAGGAGGAATGGGGTGTCTGCGGGGCGGAAGATGGAAGAAGGGATAAGAAGCAGGGGGGTGGAGCGGACGTGCAAGGAGTGGAGGAGTGAAAATGAGAAGGAGCTTCTGCTACAGAAAGGGAGCGGAAGTGGAGCGCTTTCCGCTACAATTGTGAGATATTACAATTTTAAAGAAGACTGTTTAAAAAGAAAGTCAAAAAAATAACAAAAATAAAAATACATAAAAAATAAAAATAAAAATAAAGCAATGGCAGTTTTAAAGAGAAGAAGGGGAAAGAACACTAGTATAGAAAATCTTACAATAAATTTAAGAGAAGAAACACCATATAAAGTTAGAAATCCTGCATGAGATTTTTTACATAAGCAGAGCAAGCATCAGTGATAGAGAGGTAAGTAGAAATATTAAAGAAAAAAAAGGCGGCAATTTTTCAAAGCTATAGAAGAAAAAAAAAGTACAACCATATAACATTTGGCAATTTTTGACAAAAAAGAAGAAAAAACCAAATAAACTGTGGTGAACACGGTCATTCTTATCTCATAATAAGCGCACATGATTTGAAAGAGGAGAGAGCAAAAGGGGGGGAAAAAAAGTAAAAGAATGAGAGCAAGGAGACAGGACAGGCGAAGCTAACAGTTTAATGTTTTTAGAAACACAACAGCAGATAAAAAAAAGACAGAAGTTTCTTTGCGAAGACATAAAATAATAGCCGCTCATGATAAAATGAAAAGAGGCAGAGAATGAATATGCCTAGCACTTTAGTTGCTGTAGTAGTAGAACAGATGGAGAAGTATAAGTAGAAGAAGTAAAAAAGTAATCAAACTGAAGTTAGAAGTAAAATAAGAAAAGAAAAAGAAAAAAATAAGAGTAGAAAGGAGGAAAAACCACTCTCACACAACGCACACGACGAAAAGGAAGATGAAAACGCGGCAATTTTGAAGAGAGAAATCACACTCATCAAGAGCTTTAAAGAGTAGATAACATGAGTCTTTGGAAGAGGGGGTTTTGTTTGGAGACGTTAACGAGGATAAAAAAGAAAAAGAAAAAAACAACAAAAAATTGACCTGAGCGGTTTTTCCTTTTTTATTTGATACACGCAAGAACCAAGACTAAGACCCATCTTTTTTTCGAAAAGAACAAAAAACTCCTGCTGGTGCGTTCACGAAGAGAGGAACACGTTTACTGCTGGAAATTTACAGGGTCGTTAGTAAGGAAGTTATCTTGCGTTAAGGACGAGTTCGAACGGTCTTTATGAGACGGGAAGTACCAAACCACATTTAATGGGACAGGCAAGGGGATTTTAGCACACACGTACCTTCATTGGTGCGAAGCCACCGCCGTATGAGTGGGAGGGTGGCATACCCATGGAGGGGTACATAGGAGGCGGAGGAGCGGGGCGGTAAGGCGTTCCAGCGGGTCCAGAGTTGTTCTGAGAGCGACCCCAGCTAAGCCTGACACGCGAGTTTCCAATTGGATATCCTTGCATCTGGTTGATGGCCATCTCAGCAGCGTGGCGCTGGACGAATTGGACAAAACCGCAGCCTTTTCCTGGGGGAATCTTGACGTAGGTGATTTCGCCGAAGCCCTGGAAGAAAGACGGAGCTCATCTTCGTAACGTAGCCGG